TATTTGTGTTCTTTCACCCCTTGCTGTATCTTGAGCTCTGATGTGTTTGGTATGGTAATAGTAACTCTCAGAACAAATTTTAAAAGTACTTACTTCTCATCTGACTGGAGAGTCCTATTGGTCTTGGAGAGAATGAGGTCGCTCTAAACCGGATTATCTTTATTAAACAAAAGAAAAAATTGTTATAATAGTAGTGCCTGATTTTTCTTGCTTCAATTGACTGTACACTTTGTCAAAGAATAATTTGAACCTCCATTAGGACTTGACTCTGTGTGGCTTTGTGATACTTAAGTACTAGTGTAATCTGGCACCTTAAACYTAAGAGAGAACCTTTTCACAGAACACAGAAAGATGCATGATGTGTTTGATATTATTATTACTTATTTAATGTAATGCAGAGAGCTGCTAACACAGCAAATGTGTCTGGAACTCTCATTTTTTGTGTGTGTATGGTGCCCTTTGTCACGAGAACCATGATTGTGCACCTTATGTTAACTGACAAGCTGTTTTATCCCAAGTTTATTTATCCAAAATACAGCAAATGATTCTTACTTCTTTTCAACTTTATAGGTGCTGGAGCTGATAATGACCTCTATATAAACCAAGCCATAGTATTTATTGAGGATGCAATACAAGTAAGTATAAATTTTTTGTTAGCTCTTATGCTTCCCAWGATGGATGTTTCTCACACACTCTGCCAATTTTTAAGTTTTTCTGYGTTCAAGCAACCCTTGTAAACCATCATCTCAATTCACAAAGCAAAATCATAATTTCAAATTCCTATGTTATGCAAGTCTCAATGATTTCTGCCTAGGAGAAATGCATTTTTCCCCACAATGAAATCTCTTTAAGGCTTTCAGAAGAGMTGCTGGTTGTGAAATGATTTTCATGGTGGTTTTTTGTTTATTTGGGTTGGTTTAGTTGAGAGCATTTTGACAGTGACTAATCTACTGCTAAGAGAAACTATTTGAGCTGACCCTGTAATTTGCCTCTCAGTCTGACTACTTGCACATCTTTTAAAAGCTGGTAAAAGCTTAAGGCTGGCTTCACAGGTGAAGCTCTTCAGCTGAAGAACTCTTCAGCTGAACTTGGTGCCTTTGGAAGTCTTCATTCCCTCTTTGTTTCTCCTTTACTGGCTGTTACTGCAGTTTCCTAGATCTTGTAGTATCCCACACAGTGGGAATGCTGAAGGGCAGTTCTTGAGCTCTCTTTCTGTATTTAGATGGTTTTTGGTTGGGAAATTTATGGGGATCAAATGTATTTAAGGTGTGGTCACCTTTCTGGAAGCAGCTTCTCAGCTGGGACAGAGTAAGAGCAGCCCAGGAGCTGCCACAGAGGAGGGATGGAGCAGATTTTGGGGATTCCTGAAGAATCACAGGCATTTCCTTATTTTAAAGCATGTTTTATTCAAAGACATAGGTTGAGGTCTCTTCTATTCAGAATTAATTTGTTTGCATCTTATGGCTCATTGGAAGAGAAAGATAAAAAAAGCTCCATGAGTGGAATGAATGGTAGAGAGGGGAATTAAGTGGGCGGACTATTTTGGTGACTACATAGAATAGTCATTGGATTATTACAAATACTGTTATTTGAAATGATGACAGTGATTGCTTCAGATGACTGCCACACAGTTTAATTATCTGAGCAGCTGTGTGGTCTTTAGATAGGAGAGCTTCTTTAAAATCTTTCACTTTTCACACATGTAGAGACCTCTGTGGTCATGGCTGACCTGATACTTTAATAATTAATAACATGTACTAGTTTGGTTTGCTTTGCTAACTTGATCTTTGTCTTTGAGACAGACTAAATGTAATGTTTGAATTACYCTTTTTGCTTCCTGCCTTCAGTATCGMTCTATAAATCACCGTGTGGACTCCAAATCCCTCTGGCTTTATCGGTGGTACTATTCCAGGACTTGCCAGTGGTAAGAACTTGGTTATTCTCTTTGCTTTTTCATTTTAGATTTAGTATTTCTGACAAATTACTCTGCATCTTTCTTTTTTTGTTAAATAATTATATAATTGTGCTTTTATCCTTATAAGAACTGAACTGTGGGAAGTAAGGGGATTGACTACATGTCAACATGGTAGAAGTGGAAAGCAGCAAATGTTTTAGAAATGTGATGAGGTAGATGGCTCTTTGAAACAGGCACAGGACTATTGCATGAATTGACCATTGGCACGATTTACAGCACTGTATGTTAAGAGTTTTCAAAGTGCCTATTTCTAAACATGTTGAACAACAGCGAACTTGTTTGCTGCTGTTACTTTCAAAAGAACACCACCTCAGGTTATTTAGTGGTCAGCAGTTACGTGACCAGTGAAACAACATGATAGTCAAGTGCTGTCTGGTGGTCTAACCCATTTGTGTGAAATGTGGTGGTGTAAAACTTGGTTTACTTCAAAGAAAATTGCTTTACTGTAAGTATTTTGTTATTCTTTTGAATAATTTGTGGCTGTTTTTGCATTCTGGTTTTTTTTGGGGTTGGTTTTTTATGGTTTTGTTGGTTTTATTTTTAATTTCATCTCTCTTCAAACAGGATTTTGAGCTTGACCATTACTGTTATCTTGGCTTTGGCTTTCATTGAAGAGCCTTCCTCACTCACTGTCACATCAGATGTCCGGTACCGCCTTCCTGCCTGGAATCCTCCCTGTGGTCTCACAGAGAGCATTGAGCTGCTCTGCTTCCTTGTGTTCGTGGTTGATGTATCTGTGAAGGTGAGCATCTCGTTCAGCTGGTGTTGAATGAGACAGGAGGTTTGTGGTAGATCTCCTTTTCAAATCTTGGGTTTGCAAGATGAAATTGCCTTCGTTATTAGAGCCTCATTTCAGGAAAAATTAGGAAGTGCATTTTTACTAAGTCAAGGCATTTATTCCCTTTTTTTTAACCTAATTTTCCTAACTGTGTAGAATAAATTAAATAAATTTTGCCAAGAGTGCAATTATTTTGGCTTACCTGTTTGTATTAGGCTATAAAATTGTGGTGTATAATAAATAATAAATAAATAATAGTACATGTCACCTCATTTATACAAAAAAAAGTGATCAGAAACTGACCTTTGTTGGGATGCTTATTTCTGGGTAATCCCTTTTTATGTTTATTAAATAAATATTTTTCTTGCATGCAARGGATTTCTCTCACATGGCCTGTGTGTACCTCTTACTTTTACTGATCTTTTAGTTTTTTTAGAACATAATTTCTCACCTATGTGTTTTTGTTTGGATTTTGGAGAGCTCTTTAAGAGCACTGATGTAAAATTACAAATACTTGGAAGACAAGCGGTGCTGACTTATTAAGGCATTGGATTTTTTTATTAAAGTAAGTTTTTGTTGTTGTTTTTTTTTCCTTGTCCAGAGCTACTTAATTGGATGGAAAGAATTTTGGAAAAATAAATGGCTAATGGCTTATATACTGACATTAATTGTTTCCCTTACTGATTGGATTGTGTCACTGAGTTTTTTCTGCAAAGAGGTGAGAGCTGCTTTCTGCAGAAATAACCAACAATTTAACTGTGGAGGAGGGAAGAACCTGCAAAGGGAGGGTCAGCAGGGTGTATGGATGTATTGGAGAATTAAAACAGGAGGGTGAGATGGTTCATTTTAGTCTTTGATAGTTGGATAATACACTGAAACACAGAAAAAAACTGGTGTAATGTAGCCTAGCAAAGAATTCTGTTTGATTCTTGATGTAAATTTTGTATTCATTGGTAAAATTAAGAAACTCATTGCTTTAGTCTGTCAGCAGTCAGGGAGTGCAGGGAAAAGTCATTGCTTGACACCAGTTTTGTTGTACAGTTGGAGAATTAAATTCTTAATTGAATGGCACAGCCTCTGTAATGATGTAGTTTAACAGCTGCTTTCTAACCTGCAGCTGTGCTGTGTTCAAAACAATTGTGTCCTGCTCTGTGAAATGGTTCTAGAAGTGCCCTTCTTGATGTAAAATGATGTAAAAACCAACTCTTCCAGTTGGTTTGTCTGCCATAAATTTGCATAAATTAGTTGTTATGCACTTGCAATCCTTGTTAAGAAAATACTAATAAGGAAAAAAATACTGGGAAAGGGATGAGAGAGAGATGATCTTAAAATGTAAAATCTTGAGGTGTGGTAGCAGACACGTAATTTGAACAGGAGCCTTCCACACAAARCAGTGGCAGAAGGAGCAGTTGAACTGCTGGGATGTATGAACAAAAGCATAGCAATAAAGTGATTTTTATGTTTTTCACTTCTAAGTGTGGCCCAGAGAAGATTGATCCTGAAACGTAGAATGCTGAAACACTTGAAGTAACAAATAAGTCACAGGAATAACTTGAAGGYTGGGAAGTGTATTGACTGCAAGAATCAAACAGATTCTGGAGTGTTGTAGAAAAAAGCCCTATTGGAGTCTTCTGTCAGAGACAGAAATTGCTGAGTAAAAAGCAGGCCCTTTAGTTATAAAACAGTCTGAAAATTGAAATCAAGCACTTATTTTTAAAATGTGTATTTCTTTTTATTGGAAGTAGCTTTCTGTTAATCCCTTTCTTGAGATGGACTTTGGCAGAAAATACAGRAATGCCATCTATTGCCAGATTGTTATGTTTACTGAGCAGTGCARTTAGATTGTTTCTGATTAATGGCCCGATGAGACTGTTGAAATGTAAAGGTGTGTTTTTAAAGCTATCTCTCCTCATTTTTATTAGGCACGCAAAGTATGAAATTTCTTTTGGTGTTTTATGAGCTCAGTGGAGCAGAAGTAACTTCTTTTTCTGTTATACTGTTCATTTTATTAATGTGTTTCAGTGCTTTTTGACAAACTTGACATAAAGGTGTTTGTGCTGCCAGTCTTGCAGGAACTCAGTGTCTGATCTGTTGTTTTTTGCAGAGTGTGAGATTAAGAAAAATCCTTCGCCCRTTCTTTCTCCTCCAGAATTCTTCTATGATGAAGAAAACGTTAAAAAGCATYAACAGCACATTGCCTGAAATGGCGAGGTGGGTAATAGCACAGAAAACATAATTTCACAGCAAGCAGGTTGTTGTCCTTTGTGTTCTGGTGTGGGGCATCTGAGCAGTTTCCTCCTGCATGGCATAGCTGAGTGCTCAGTGAGATCAGGTCACAGTGGGTGGAGGTTGTGGTAACTTTTTGATCTGTGAAGGGTCTCTGGACTGTGACATGACTATGTATGTGACATTGGTTTTTTAATTCTAGTTGAGTGGGAGGTTTTATTTCTGCTTTTGTAAGGGAAGAGCTGAGGCACAGAAATATGATTTTTATTTTGAATCAAAATTCACATCACCTTCTGTTATTACAATATAAATTCTTAAGAACACCCCTGATTTTCTTTATATGGCATCCTTTGCATTTTTAGCAGAGGATATTAAGAAAAAAATAAAGTTGCTATTAATGCCTGTGATATATTTTCTTTCCAACAGTGTTGTTCTACTACTGGCTGTTCATCTGTCTCTCTTCACCATGTTTGCCATGCTACTCTTTGCTCGAACAAAGGTAATCAATTCTATTTCTGCTTTGGTAGGTCAGGGTGCCTTTATTCTGTACTTGTACCATTACTTCATGTCTAGCTTTATAATCAAGCTAGTGAAAYTCATTTTTCCTGAAWAGGTCACATTGTCAGACTTTCTAAKATGAGTTTGAAGTCCATTTGGARAGTTCTGACTTGTGCATAGTATTCATGTATACAGGAGACTTCCTGATACACTTAGCCAGTTTGATCCTTTGCATTACTTTTTCTGCTTTTCTTCAAAACTGTCTGTGCTGTTCTGTGTCCAAAACTCTTGTCACTTTTTAATTTATACTATCCCTCTTTTTTTTTTTTGTCTTCCCTAGCTAGCTTTTTGCTAACTTTAGGTTCTTTTGTGTTTTCTCACCTTTCCTTACTGGTATCCCTGGCCGTGCCTTGGTAGATTTTTGCCTGTACTAGTTTTGGTTTCTGATTTCTTTGGGTTTTGCTCTCATTTTTCTCTTCCTGCTTCTGAAAAGCTAATTCGAAATTATTAAAATAATTTTTTTGTTCCAGTAATCTTGATATGTTCCTTCTCTTCTGAACTTCCTGTATCTTACTGTATCATACTCAGATTATTTGGAGTTTTTTATGTTCTTACTTTTTAAGACCTTCCATAAATATGTTACTTTGGACACAAAAAATTCTTGCATACTTGCCCCAGTAATTTTGGTTCTCTCCTTAATCTCAGTTTTGCACCTTCATTTCTACTGTAATTTGCTCTTGATCCTGCTTCTAATCTTCCTTATGATCAACAAATTCCCTGAAATCCTATGTTACAGAATATCTGAAATTGGAAGCAGAGCTCTGTTTTCCCACTTTGTTTAGTTGCATTCTGGACCTTTGTATTGTCTCTGTTTGTCACATCTAATTTAAGTTATGAGCTTCCCCAGCAGATGGATATTCCAGTCAATTTTGTGTACATTTAGGTAAAAAAAAAAAACAAATTGGAGAGTGGATTTCCCTATTCTGGTATGCTGCTGTGTCATCCATACAAACTGACTTTATCTTACAAGGCAAAATACTGCAGGCAAGTTCTAAAAGTAGGTTTATTAATGAAATTCATGACTGTGCAATATTGCATAGTCTTGTGTATGTCCTCTAGGGATTAATTTTGCAATCTTTGCAGCAGATTCAAGGGCTGTTTGTCCTGTGGTGCCTGATTCATGTTTGTGTTGTTTGCACTCTGTATCTTTTTTRCCTGTTTCTTTGTGACCTCAGGGAAAAAATGTGTGGAGTATCCAAGATCAGCCTCCCAGTGTGTTTTGAGGAAGGTTCTGATGCTATCAGATCATTTTAAGTTTCCACTGAGCATCAAAATAATTTTGATGACTTGCCAAAGTTATTGCAAATATATTTTTGTGTGCTGTAGCACTGATAATTATTTTTAAATTTCCTTTTCCCAAGATGTTTAAGCTTGATGTGATGTTTTCATTGATACTGTACACAGCATTTTAAATCTTCATTCTTTTCAGAACAGAGCAGTTGCCTATTTCCTATCTGCTCAGCAATTCCTGTACTGTGCATGAGCATTAATTACAGCCTATCTAAGGGGGATTAGCGGGAGGAGGTGGAAGACCCTCTTTGGAGTAGTGATAGTAACTTTTGTAACTTCAGTAGCAACAAAACTAATTCAGAGGATGCTAAGTTTTCTATTTGGAAGTCAAAGATGGAGTGACAGACATTCTGGGTATGATGGTAGAGCTGCAGGTGTTTGAGAGGCGTTTATAGGCAGGATCTTTTGTGGTTATTGAGGCAGCTCTTCATTACTGAGAATGCCAGTTTGTTTCTTTGAGTTGTTTTTTTTTATGTCTGTGTGGTTTGTTTTGTTGGGTTTTTTTGTGGTTTTTTTTTTTTAAATCATATTTAGGGCGTCTTTTATCTGCAGAATAACATCATTTAAAGTGATGCTTTTTCTATCGGTCAAAGGTTTCTTCAGAGTCCTATGCTCATGGCAGTTTGTGACATGRTTGTTCTTCTTGCCTCTGAGTTGCTAACTAGAAGTAACTTCTGTAGGAAAGTTCAGTTCTTGTGTTTTTAAATTGCTATTAATAAGTGATTGCACTGTATTCATACACATTGTCTTAATTTTTATGTTTGGCTTTTGCTTTTTCCTCGGGGTAGATTTGACTATGGTGTAAGAAATTGATTGTTGACTGATGTTAATTTTTTTTTATTATTATTTAAAGAATTTTTCCTCTTCTTTGGTAAGACATTCTTAGCGATTCCTTGGTATTTCTCTTAACAATGGCCATCTCTTTGCCTAGGATAACCAGCAGGATAAGGAGTGGGTGGTGTATTTCCGGAATTTGCCAGATTCCCTGACGTCACTGCTGGTCCTGCTGACYACTGCAAATAATCCTGATGGTGAGCAGGCTTTCTGAAATAACTCTTGTCTTCCTTTTCAAGAACAATAGAATAAGATCACTCTACTGTAACCACTCTTTCAGCTGATAGTTCTTAGTACAGCTAGAGGAAGGTTGTGTAAGGGTTTTTCATGCATTTAGTAATTTGATCCTTGCCTTTCTTTGGTGTAATTGTATATGCCTTTCTAAAGTCCTGCTATATGACAGCTTTTACCAATTGCYAAAAATTCATAGGGGTCTGCATTGTGCATCTCAAACATCTAAATATTACTTCCTGTTTTTGTTAAATTTGATACAGTGATGATGCCTGCCTATTCTAAGAATCGAGCATACTCCATCTTCTTCATCCTCTTCACTGTGTTAGGTGAGTTACCTCTTGTCTCCTGCAATGTTGATGCACTTCAACTTAGACACTTGTGCCTACCAGCTACAGTGTTTTATTTTTCTAGGAAATTTTAACCTTGAATTTCACTGTTTTTGTATTTCTTCCAATTACGGCATAGTGTCTGTAGGATCATTTTCATGGAAGATACTTACAGTTTGGAGTTTTTTGGTAATATGTCATAGGGGAATGAATACATTGCAATATATTCAAACATTAAAAACATTTTGGAAATCAAGCAAGAAAACTAACCCTTTTTAAGTTTTACATCTGATTTACTGCATGCATTGAAACTTCTTTGAGAAACAGATACTTTTCAGTAAATTTTACTGCCTTTTTTTCTCCATTAGGCAATTTGTTTTTGATGAATTTGCTTACAGCAATAATATACAACCAGTTTCGAGGGTACCTTCTGGTGAGTAAAGAATTCCTGATTTCTGTGTTTTGCCATAAGCTTGAACATTTGAAGTATTTGGTTTCATTTRTGTATTAAAGCAACCCGCCCACTCAGGTAGATACAGAGGTACTAAATGTTCTTTCATGTAGATACTTTTCCCTTTATATGCTGTTACAGCTCAATCCCCTTCTGTGACAAAATTACCTGCTTGTGTGCTTCCATGTATGCTGTGGATCTGCAATTTTGACTATTATAGGGGGGAAAAAGAATCTGTTATAGAACTGAACAAGGACAAGTGACTGAGTAACTTAAGCTTGGTCTCTGTTAAAAAAAAAACTGCTGTTCAGTTTAAATAGCTGTTGCTGCAAATCATAAAATAATAAGGGGTTGGAAAGGACATTCAAGGTCATCCAGTCCCAAYACCCCCTGCCATGGGCAGAGACAGCTCCCACAAGACCAGGTAATTCAAGGCCTTTCCCAGACTGTCCCAATAGCTTCTCTAGTAGAGTTCCAGAGAGAAGATGAAATTTGTTGGACAGTAAGCTCGAGGCAATATTACTCAGAAGGAATGGCCCCTACCCTCTTGTGACAGAGGGGTGTATAAACAGAATATGTGCACAGAGGATTTTTGRTAATCCTTTTCTCCTCCTCTGTTTCATCCCTTTTTGCTCAATTTTCTTCTTTCTCACATGACAGAATGACATGATCTAGCTCCCAATAAAGTAACCTTGAAAGTTTGAAAGTAATTACTAAAATACAAAAAAAAAGCATGAAAAACTGTGGCTCTGGATTGGTGCTTTTAGGAAAGAAGCTGGAGTTGGACAAGCTCTCTAACTCTTTTCTCTGCAAATAGTGTGAGTTTATGTGAATGCTTGAGCTTTGCTGTTGCCAGTGTCTCTTGAAACAGGCATATGCCTATGCCTTCCAGTATTGAAAGTAAACCATAAACTGGATGTTTATTTGAACTCCAGAGACTTGTTTGCTCACTTCCTTCCTTGATCTGTGTGCGTGGAGTTCTTGGAGGGAGTGAGGCCTGGGACAATCTCCTGTTTTGATCTCTAATCACAAATCTGGAATGTGTACCTGAGGATCAGTACATTATCTGGCCACAGGACACAGTAGTGCCTGAAGTGTGAGTAAATTGTTTCCTCTGTGGTGTTTTTACTGCTCAGAAATCAGTTCAGTCCTCCCTCTTCAGGAGGCGGCTGGGGATCCGGGCTGCGTTTGAGGTGCTGTCTTCGCTGAAAGAGACTCCTGCTAGTGCACAACAGTAAGTGAAGAATATTGAAGCAGTCGATTATCTAGAAAAAAAAGAGCAGATTTTTGGTCATCTTGTTTTGTTTGCTATTTTTACTGAGGATCCAGTCTCGAAAATTGGCAGTTTGTTGCTGTCATTTAGTTACTTATACTTTAACTGAATGTTCACATCACACTGTTTGGAACTCTTATGGAGTATGTTTGCTTTTTTTCTGCTTCTAATTTTATTTGCTTTTCAAAGAAAGAGGCAGGAATGCATTTGGAACAGCATTTTGCCATCTGTAAGRTTATCTGTTTTCTTTCAAATAGGTCCTGTGTCAGTGTTGGGGTCTTACTACAAGTGCTACAGAGAGTTCAGATGGATTCTCGCTGCAAGCAAGCCATAATGAGAGTAAGAACTGGATTTTCTTAGCCTTTATGTTGGTGACTATCAAATCCAGAGATCTCTGTTGCAACATTCCTTGGATCCCTATATAATAGTGGCACTACTATGTGTGACTCGAGATTTAAGTTTGTCAAAAGAGCATGTGATCCCAGAAGGGGAAAATATAAAAGTCTGGACAAATCCTCCAGTCATGTGGCAGTGTTGTGTTAAACCAGAGCAATTTTGAACCTTACTCTAACAGCTTGTATTTTATCTACATTTCTATATTTCCAAGGCAGTCTGAGGGTTTTTGGCAAACTTTGCAGATGTACGTATTGCAGATGTTGATCTGAATGTTTCTCTTTCATGTGAAGTCAATCAAAATGTGCTCCTGTGACCAGCTGTCAGCTGCCCAGTTCCAGAAGCTCTTTGAAGAATTAGACAAAGATGCCATTAAACAAGTATGTTTGTGACCATCATTTATAAAGCATCAAAAGTTGTCTGGTCTTGTGCAAAATAAGTGAGAGTATTCTAGTATAAAGTGTATAAACAAACTTTGCAACATATGAACACAATGTGTGATCACATGGCATTGATTTTTAAGCTGTTCATGAGCTGCTTTTATAGCCACAAACAAAATTGCTTTGGGGGCTTTTGCAGCATTAGTTTGGAATTATTAGGTGGTGCTAAATGTACAAAATACATCTTTGTTTATTCTTRTCAGCATTTTTGTGTGACTTGGACTGGCAGAATAGCTTAAAGTCTTTTCTCCAGTCCCTGAAGGAAGACCAAATTGTGGATTCTTTCAGTGGTCAATGAAGATGGGGAGAAAGTTTTCTCCACTTGGAAGAAGGAAAAACAAAACAGTTAACTATTTGCGAGTTAGGAAATGTTCTCTTCTATGTTTGCATGTAACTAAGATTCTGAATTAAACATTGGGAGATGGGAAGGGATGTATACAATTAGTGTCTTGGTGTTAAGTTTATCTGCTTGGGGCATTGGAGAGAGGTTGGATATCTCCCTTCTTTGCTATTAGCCTTGTGTTGTGCCATAATCAGGAATGATCTGTTACTGCTAATAGCCACAGCTTGAAAATGTTTTCCAGATGAAATGTCAACATTTGCCTGTGGCCCTGAAGTTTTGCTTTGAAAATGTCTCGGGATTGAGGGCATTTTTAAAGTTATTTTATTAACATGCTTATGCTTTGTGACTCAGAAAATCCTTTGTGTTCTTTTCAGCACCCTCCCAGTCCAGAGTATCAATCCCATTTTATGCAGAAAATGCAGTTTGCATTTGGCCATCCCTACTTTGGCTACCTGGGGAATGTGGTAGCCCTTGCAAATATTATTTCTATCTGTGTAAGTAAAAGGTTTTTTCCTTGTGTGACAGTGAATTTTTTTTCTTTTTGTGGTTGTTTTTTTAGTTTTTCTCTGCTACAAATTTAATTTCTGCTTTTATTCTTTAATTGCTCTTTAAGTAACTACTTTTTCTAGCAGCTGTTGGGTTTTTAGCATCCTTTAGTCACGCAAAGTCTTAAAAGGAGCTGCTTGAAAAGGTCTGTGCAAAGCAAGAAAAACTGTTCCTGTGCTTAAAAAATTGTTTTGTGTAGCAGTGAAGCAGTAGATTCATAGAATATTTTTTGTTTAAGGTGGTTTTGGTGATGGATGCAGATAAGCAGCCGTCTGAAAGAGATGACTTCTTTCTTGGGGTAAGATGCAGCAGTATTCCATGCAGTTAATGCTGCTCCCTGAGATGTCAGTAATTCTAATGGTTGTTTTTATTTTGGGGGGTGAAGGCTATCAACTGCTTCTTCATCCTCTACTATCTGCTGGAAATGTTGCTGAAAATTTTAGCAATGGGCTTGAAAAGATACTGGTCTTATCCAAGCAATAGATTTGATGGACTTCTGACTGTAATTTTGCTGGTAAGTGTTTTGTTAGCTTACATTATTCTTGGATTTGTTGGCTAGGGAGTTTAGGAACTACAAGAGCTGGTGGGATTGCTTTTTTTCAACACTGATCTGCTGAGCTGAACAGCATGAGCCAGTGTTGTGGGTTTCTGTGGCTTGAAAGTTTACATGGGGGTACATGGTTCTCTTAGGATCTGCATTCTCAAGGTAATCTTATTTAAATCCATGGAAAAGGTGCTTTTCCTGATAAGAAGCCTTTTTATTTGGAAAAATTCAGCTCTTGGAATAATTTCACGAGGCATTCTGTTTCATAATTTAAAACCACTTTTCTCTTAAAAAAAACAACAACCGAGGCAGATTATTATAATGATTATTTGGTCAAAGCCTGATGCCCCTGTGGCAAATGAGGTCAAATTCATGGTTAATGGTATTCACTATATATCCTTTTATGTCACTATTGAACGATTTATGTACATTTGGTTAATTTGGGGAATAACTAGGCAAATACGACAGTTCAGAGCTTTAAAGTGAGTCAGATTAATGGCTTAAAGCTCTTGAAAATGTTTCCTGTCAAGAAGCTTACATGATTTCTGGAACTCAGAATTACAAAGTAAAGTTTTGACTTTTTTTTTTTTTTTGTTGGTTTGCTTGTGTGTGGTTTTTGTTGTTGTTGTTGTTGTTTTGGTTTTTTTTCTTTTCTAACTAAAGATACTGGAGATTGCAACTTTTGCTGTATATGGATTTCCTCATCCTGGCTGGTGAGTAACCTCTGTGACTGGCTGTACTTTGCTCAGAGGTGGCTGGGGTGGGTCAGGGGAATACACATACACTGTCATGCTCACACATGTCATCATGCTGTGATTGTCACCCCAGTCCATAATTTAACATATTTAATAGCATTTTTCACCCTTGTAGTCACTAGAGGCCATGCATTATGGATAAGTGAAAGAATTTTTTTTCCTAGTATTCTAGAGTTCTGCTTAGCTCTTCTGAGAAGGATGCATTTGTTCCAATTGTAATCTGATCCAAAATAATATTTTGGCACACGTATGCTTTCCAGGGGTGCAAGAGTAGGAATTTGGTACAACATGCACAACCATCTATACTGTGGTTCAGTATCTGATTGTCCATAAGCCCACTCATATGACTTCCTAAACAACTGATGACATCTCATATCCCTGCATGTAGATGAAGTCTGAGGGATTTTTTAATGCTATAAAGTGTAGTTAAAAATTTCCCATGGACTTAGACTATTTGTCTATACTGGAATAGCAAACAGTTGTATTTTGATTTTCTTAAGTTCAGCTTTTGGAGAAATGTCCTGATTTCTTTTTTGTTACAAAAACATTAAAATCATTACTTCATCTTAAAATTTAGAAACTGCCCCCACAAGAAAAGAGGAAAGTAAAAGAATTCTGTAAAATTTCCTGTATCTTCAGGGGTAAAGCATAACACATTCTGTTACTTGGTGTCTTCATACAAGCTCAGTCTTAAGACACTGGCACTCTCTGATTTTTCAGGATATTTGTTATGTTGCCATCAAGGAGTTAGCCTCATTTACAGTAGAAACTCTGAAGAGAGTTAGACAAGTCAGACCTTACTGTTTTAAAGGGGTTTATATTTGAATAATATTTACTCTCCTGTCACCCGGAAGTGCTGGTTGCCAGAATAGTAATTGCTACAGTCTAACGACATTAATTATTGATCTTCTCATTGGTTATGTTTGGGTTTGATTTTGATCTTTGATTCTTAAATGTAGGCAGTTTGCTCTATCATCTTGGAGCACCAGTAATTCTTGTTAGGTCTTTGTGTCAGTCACTGCAGATTACAACCCCGGTGAGTCACTCTGAGCCCTAAAGTGTGTGGGTGTGGCATCCACAGACCAAGCAGTTACCACCTTCAGAGCAGGACAGTGATGTTGCTGTTATCTAGAATATGCCTTCTGTGTGGTGTTATCTTTAATAATTTCCTTTGTTATTTGAGATGAATATATTGGAGGTACAAATAATGATTTAGCATCTATGTTACTTTGTCATTAGCATCTTTAGTCCCTCACTACCTGCCCACCTTTCCAGCCAAGAAGCATTCAGCATGCCCATGTAAAAGMTAAAATTCAGGCTAAGATTTGAAGTGTATGCCCAACTCCTATGGAACATACACATATAAGGAAGAAAGCTGATGAGACTGTCTTTTAACCTAGTCTGTTTTCAAAGCCCTTCTTCAGCCAGGTGAACCCTGAAGGGTTAATGTACGCTTTTGCGCAAGTTCCTGGAGAATCTCCCTCTAGCAGTCCTTTTGATTCATTTTGTTTTCTGAAAGGACCCTCTTTGGTGCCCCCTCACCAGCAGAAAGCACAAACATGCACTTCAAAGAGCTCTTTATGCATATTTAAGAGCCCGGGCTAGAGAGATTCCTTCGTTCATCAGTTACTAGTTTAATGTAGCTGAGATTCCTGCTAAGTGAATGAATGTACTTACAATTACGTGTAGCCCAGTAAATTTAAACTGTGTCCTTCTGTCATGGGCTGTTTCTCTGATGTGTTGCTTTCTCCCATCTTTCCCAGGAGACCTGAGTTGCTGGGCTTGTTATCCCTGTGGGACATGGTGCGACTGGTGAACATGTTAATTGTGTTCAGGTTCCTGCGGATCATCCCCAACATGAAGGTCATTGCTCATCCCTCCATAACTGATGTCTTTGTTGGTCAGGCTGTTAATTTTGTTAGAGCCTTTCAGAATAACGTGTAGTTTTCAATTCTCTTGCACATGAGTGGGATAGCTCTGTTCTAACTGTCCTGATTATTGCAYAACCATTCATAAAATCACTGTCTGTTGAGCAGGTTTTCTCTGGTGGGAAAGGCAMCTTCTCTTGAGGTGATTCTTTGTCCTTTAAGTAAAAATGTGATATGGATTGGAAGTGTCATACTTAAAAAATTCTGCTCTGTTTTAGTTCATGGCATTGGTTGTTACTACATTGCTGGATCTGGTGAAAAATTTAMGAGCCTTTGCAGGACTCCTTGTGGTAAGTCATGATACAAGACTGTCATTTCCTTTCTTATAGGATAATAAGGGTGCACCACCAACAAAGTTAACAATGTTCTTGTACAATCACCACGAGCAATAACATTTCACCTTAATCTGTCAGTTCTTCTTCAGGGCATGTCTTGGAAAGCCACAATAAACTGGTATTTTGTGATGGTCAGCACACAGTGGCAGTGCCTTATTTAGCAGGAGTATTTTTAAAAGATTTAACCAATCTTCCTTTGAGGGTTTGCCTCAGCCTGTATGCTCTGGTTTCAAATAAAAATTAATCTGTGCTAGAAGTAGACCAGTTTTTCTTACCCTGATTTGCTTATGTTAAATTAAATAGCAAAACAGCTTTGAATTTGTTTTTGATTGAGAAGGTCTTGAGATGGCATGTTTGGACATGATCTTTTAAGAGCCTCTGCCATCCTGTTTTAGGTGTGTCCGTGTAGAATACAGACTCAACAAACATGTGATAAAAGGGTGTATCACAATGTGTAATGTCCATTGCATAAATTCTCCCAACTCTTGAGTTTCTGGCCTTGCAGCCATGTCTTCCTGGTATGGCAAAGAAGTGCCTGGTTGGTTTGGTTTTGTTACAGTTTGTGAGTTTTTGTAGGACACSTTAATTTCAGTTGTTAAAGGCCAATGATTTGTTGTTCTAATCTGTATATCTAGCATGCAATTTAACCAGAAYATCTGCTTTTGTCATTAATAATCTCTACTTTTATCTGTAGAGGATAGGGTTTAAGTTAACTAGCGTTGCACTTTGAAATAGAGATATTGGTTGGGGCAAAACTTAGGTGGTCACAACCTTGTTGTGCTGTACAGGTCACATTTATGAGACAAGTCTGCCACAGTGTTTGCACTTCCAGCTGAATTTAATTTGCTTTTACTTGAGGCTGCATGGCAGCTGTCATTGATGTTCTGCTGTAGTGAAATCTGACTCCATCACCAGCTGATRTAAAGTATCTTTCCTACTGTTAGCCTGGAAGACACATGCTGATAAAGTAATGTAACTGATTAGCTAATTTCTCAGGCAGGGAGTGTATTTAATGTCTCTTTTTTCAAATAATAAAATTAATTTTATTGCCAGGACAGATACCCCATCTTCTGACAGGCTGTGAAACTTAGCTTCAACTTAGTCCAGTTTGTTGAAACAGCTTCAACTTAGTCCAGTGGTGTTCAGAGTTCATAGGCCAGGCCGTAGGGTCTTCTGYTCCTTCCAGACTTCCCCTTCTTGGGTTTGTTTTGTAGCAAAATGTAAAAAAACCCAAAACTTCAGTTGAAAACTCAGCTTGCTTCAAGCTTTTTTGGGACAAATGGCTCCTTAGGGAAGTGAGGCTATGGATTATTTCTAGAATAATCGTTTTAGGATTTAAATTGCAAAATCACCTAGGCAACTGCTAAAGAGTGAAGGATCTCTCTTTAAAAAGAAGTTTGCATTTCTAACAATTAAAAGAGAGAAGGTCACAAATTCTGTGTGTTACTGAAAACTTTCTTTTTAGAGTAATCTAACATTTTTAAGGAAGTTTCTGATGGAATTTAAAATACTAACTTAGTTTCATTTTTCAGTTTAATTTAGTAAAAGCTTATTTTCACTCAACTAGCAGAAAACTCCCCAGATAAACATATTGTCCTTTGTAAATACTGGTACTGGGTTTTGGTTTTAAGTTGCTATTCTACAATGTTTATAGTTAAATATCTGCATTCTGAGATCCAGAGAAGTATAATAGATGATAAAATGATTTAATGCATTTTAACAACTGAAAGGTAGAATATTAAAAAGCAAGAGCAAGCAGCTGAGAAGATTTTAATTTTAAAAGCTTCAGGCACTGTTCATGATGCAATTACTTTAACTGTGGTATTAATATATATTCCATGTTAATTTCATTTTGCTTTCTTATTTAATGACAGAAATGTTCAAAGCTAATAGTTGCCTGTGTTCCTTCCAGGTGGTTTTCTATGCATTTGCTATAACTGGCATAATGCTATTTAAAGGTGCTGTTGTTCCCTTGGGAAATACCAGGTAACATTCGAAACATCACTGCTCAGAAAGAATCTGTTTTTCAAAAGCATCTGCAACTTTTTAACCTCTGAGCTATTTGTGGTCGGTTTTTTTCTCTTCTTCTTGGAGCCACCCTACTTTTAATGTTAAATCTCAAGATTTTGTTATCTGTTATTCTTTGTTTCTTCTTGCTGCATTGAAATTGCAGGAATGCTTGGAATTTTACCCTACTTTATCTTAAATACTTTTGAAAACTAATTCCCTTGTTTTCTGCCCATATGAGATACTCTAACTTTCTACAAGGGRCTCAGGAGAATTTTGAGGTAGAGAGCTGTGTTCACATCAGCCTGTAATTCTTTTKCAGTGCTGCCAACACAACAAATGATAATGTCACTCTGCAGTGTGGGACCTATGAACAGCTGGAATATTGGCCCAACAACTTCGATGACTTTGCTGTGAGTCTGATCACTGATGAAATCCCTTCCTCTTCCCCCCTCTGCTTGTCTTTCCTCCTCATTTTCTGAGGCTTAAATCTGTGATGCAGTCCCTTAAACTCACTTCCACTCACTTCTGCTGTATTTAGGCAGCACTGGTGACCCTTTGGGATGTGATGGTGGTAAACAACTGGCAAGTCTTTCTGGAAGCATTTTCAAGATACTCAAGTCCGTAAGTAGCAGTAGCAATACTGAAGAAGTCCCATATAAATCCAGTGTATAAGATACCTGAACAAGARTTGTACACACAGCACAGTTCCTACCATCTGCTCAGAGGACTGCTGCTTTCCTTTCTTTTGGGTCACTTCAGGTATATTCAAAATAAACTTAATTTTTTCGTGTTTTCTCTGTGGGTGAACAATTTTTTGTAGACTTAACACATTGGGCATATCTTTCATTTTTATTTACTGACTTCATGGAAATGTTTAAATGAACTGATAGCCCCTGGGATGAGCTGTTCCAGTGACCCTTGGCTKGTTAACCCAGGAGAGTGAGTCTGGTTGGCTAACTTCTTGAAAAGGAAACATTTTTTGTCTTTGATTCTTTGATCCAAGCCTCCTTTTCCATTAAGAAGGTTTTAGTATTACATTTAAARAAAAAAAAAAAAAAAGTGATTTCATGGTGCTCTGCTCACTTTCAGGCTGAGGTTATTTACTGCCTCCTTTATGTATTGTCTGTTTGTCTGATCTGCAGGTGGGCAAAGATCTATTTTGTWGCCTGGTGGTTGATCTCCTCTGTCATCTGGGTTAATCTCTTCGTAGCTTTACTTCTGGAGGTAAGGAAGTATGTTTATTTGGTGTGGGATCCTCAAAAYGGGTTATAATTTTTACAGGAAGTGAGAAGAACCCAGATAACTTTTTTTGAGTGTGTGCTTACTTTACCTTTCTCCTTGCTGCCCCATCGCTGAAGAGCAGAGGAAATACTTCCATTTTTCTAGACAATYATATGTGTTATTTGCAATTTTGTCACAGAACTGGTTGTGGCTCACTGGTATGTACATTTTTATCATACTCTTTATAAGAAAGATGAAAAATATTTAAAGTATTATAAAAYTGCTTATGTCTTGTACATTAACATTTAAATTCAGCATTAGTTATTCAGGCTGCAGGCTTTTTGCATTTCAGTTTGTCAGCAAATGAAGGTAGCAGTTTAAATTCTAAGTTTTTATTTTATTTGGCTCGCCTGTTTCTTCCCACCCCAATAGGAATTACCACCATTGTTCAGTTCCACACTAGAGGAGTGGAACTGATTACTTATTTTCAAGAGACCATATTCTAGAGCTTTTCAGAGAAGCTGTGGGAGTGTGGTTGCCTAAGCAATGCCATGAAGAGCATGTGGTTTTGCTGGTTTCTCATTGCATATTTTCCTGCAAATCCAAATTCCTGATGGTGAAGGGACTGCTAATCATAACCATCTCCTCCAGGCTCATSATTGCAGACTTCTCTTATAGGTAATGGAGGGAACTGAGAACCTGTACAGAGCACTTCACCTCATCTCAAACCCTATGAAAGTTTCTTCTGGAGATGTCCTTACCATTGCTGACTGTATTGAGAATTAAAATTTCCTACAGTAGGAAGAATGGGAAACTTTCAGTCTAGGGTGTCTTCTACCTGCTTGCTTCTGCAGGGCTGTGACCAAAAGTTGCTGTCAAACCCAAGATGCAGCATTCTGTAGCAGGAGAGCAGGATGTCACTATTTTTCTCCCTTTTATTTGGTTTTTTTTTTGGCCTGAGCTGTGTGTCTACTCCCTATGTATTCATTTGTCAGAGTTATTCAAAATGGGTAAGGGAACATGACAAAGCCAGTAGCTGAGCTGAAGTTGTGATGCCTGGACCACGAGGATGTTTATATATTGTTGGGTTTTTAAAGAGGAAGAAATTCAGATGGGGTGAAGTCTAGTGGGTAGTTCACACAGTTGTCCTGGGGAGGCAGTCCTTGCTAGGAGCTGAAGGCTGCAGGGCTGTCTCCTCCACTGTTCTTTCAGTTTGTGATGAGGAAGTTATTTCATTCCTGAACAAAGGCCAGAATAGTGACCTGCAGCCAATCAATATCCTGATGCCTTAATAAGTCAGTGCTCTGACAGTGTTAAAAATAAAACTCATCCCCCTCCTAAACCTTGTCTGCAAACCAGATAGAACCTCTTTTCTGGTGCCATCAGAAGAAGCCTTTSTATTTTTTGCTGTTTCTTTTACATTTCAGAACTTTATTCATAAGTGGGACCGTCGCTGCCATCGAGAGTCTCTTTCAGATATTGAATATCAGAGGACAGTTCAACTCATGTTCAGGTGAGTTGCACTGAACTTGATAATCAATGTAGTTTTTTTCCCTTTGTCTGTTTTAAAGAAAGTGTGCTGGCTGCAAGAGGACTTCTATTTCCTCCCTCTGAAGCAAACTGATTCATGTGTTAGTTTGGAGAAATTTCAGCAAGTGCTTTAGTTAGGCCTGCTTTAAGCTGACTTGGTAGCCTAACCTTTATATGCTTTGTGCTCATAGCAGGGTGGGAGAAGTGCTGGGGATTAGGGGAACAACTGCTGAAGGAGAAAAAAACAAGGGAAGGAAGAAAAGGGAAGATGAAAGAAGTGATGCATGTTCTTGGCTTAGTATGAAATGGTGGGTGGTGATGACCACGCGTAAGTGGAACTTCTGGTGCATGTTGGCTACTCAATAGTAGCACTGGGAGCATGTTCTCATTTGGGAGTTTTTTCAGGAAAACAAATCTACTGACTTYCAGTTGTATTGTACTGTGTGCAGGAAATTGCTTCCCTGCTTCTTATGGGAAAACAGCTGTTGGTTTCCATGACACATCTGTAGAGGATGGATCCCTTGCAAGTAGATGCATCTTTAGGGAGCATCAACTTATTGTAATTTTAATTCCTTGTTTTGTTCTTGAAACAAGCACATGTTTCATCTCAGTATGTGCATTGCAAAAACATGCTGAGAAGCTCCTTTTGCTGCCCCTAACAATGCATGCTTTTTCTTTGTAGAGATGTTTTGGAAGAACCTACAGAGGAGGAGTTGATCGAAAAACTGCACCAGCACCCACACCTGCAGTTATGTAGGTGACTGGTGGGAAGGACTGATTTATTGGACTGATTTATTTAGACCTCTGTTTTCTTGAGGTTGTCAGCTGGAAGAAACGGAACGGTTTTTCTGTGAGATGCTCTTAGGAGAGAGGCTTGTAGGACAGCATGKGGGGATCTGCTTGGCAATTCTCTGCAGAAAGGTTTTTTATTTTGTGTTCGTATCTTTTTTTGAATAAGATTTGAATCTTGCTAACTTGGTTTCAAGTTGCAATTTTAGGAGTATTGCAGCTSTTATTTTTATAGGGTGTTGATATCAGGTTTTCTTTTTTTTAATAGGGAAAGTCTGTTTAAAATGACAGTGCACTTTAAAATATGAACTTTATAACCACTGAGCTTGCTATTTTTTTTCAGCACAAGAAAATGGAGGTGCCTTTTCTGGCAGGAGAGTGTGGCAAGGGCTGTGCCCTGCAATTCATGCATGGATTAGGCAGAACCAGAACAAAATGCCTAATCTTCTTGTATTGAGAGTTGAAACACGATTTTTATTRCAATATGTGACACCAGCATATTTTACCAAATATTCAGGAGTTAATTATGTCGGAACACAATCAATTCCAGTTTAGTAATGGGGACTGCCTGCTTTGCACATCTGTTTTTCTTTGATTTTCGTGGGTGTTCATGCTGGTTATGCCATGCTGGTCACTGGGAGCAGTAAGAACCTGGACTGGAGCAGCTGGACTTGTGGTTTTCAGTGTGGTTAAACTGAGCTCGCTTTTAGAGTCAATATTCTCATGTTGCTCTTCACTGAAACTCTTTGCTTTCTTCCATGTTCTGTTTCACACTGTATTGTATTCCATGAAAAAGCTRAGGGGAATGGACTTCACCTGGAATGTTGCACCATGATCAGTGGAGTCCCCCACCTAAATGTGGAAGGGGGAAAAAAAAGTTGAATGGAGTAATCAAAGTGCTTAACAGTTGAAATTTTAATTYGAGCCTGTGGGAATTGAAGGTGCACAACCAGTATTGCAGGATCACGTTCTTCTATGGCTTAAAGACCACATGCTGTGTACCACTAAATTTCACCCATGGGTAGAACTCTGGGTAGGTAAGTTTCTCAGCAAATCCAAGGTAGAGGAGTCACAGTAAGCTGTRTCCATGAGCTTTTCATTATCCCAYAGTGCTCCTCTAAAAAGGTGTTTTTCTTGAATCTTTGTCACATAATTAATAAATTGCTCTGAAGAGCAGAATCAACCACAGCTACTATTTTTATATATCAAAATGAAACTGCTCTTTGGGGTGCTGCCTTCTCATTGGGACCCTTGTCACCAAAATAGTCATTATTGTGGTCATCTCTGTATTGACAGAAGCTTGGGGAAGGCAGTTGGCTACCTTATTCTTGATTCTTTTTTTTTTACTTAAAAGGTATTTTTCAGAAATGCCAAGCAGTCATCCTGTGTACCTTTTCTCCTCTTCTTTCATCATTTGCCTTTTCTCTCTGTCCTGTATGAAGGAGAGGAAAATATCCAGGATGATGTTGCGTTTGATGTCAAAACCATATTTTTGCCTTCTTGTCTCACTGTTTATAGTTTGCCTTTATGTCAGGATGGTTTCTGCTCCTTCTAACATGATGTATAATCACTGCCACCAGGGTATTGGAACATACTGCACAGTGGTTAAACTGTCTTATTCTACCTTTTTACTGAAAAAAAAATACTTTTTTGTTTTCCACTTTTCTGAATACTTGAAGTAGCTTTGCCTTGCCAAAAAGGAAGYGTCCAGTTCTTATCAGCCTTTTTTTGGCCTCTTAAGTTTTTGGGGTTTTGTTGTTGATTTTTTTTTGTTGTTGGGGGTTGTTTTTTTTATTTTGCCATTACATTCCACTACRATCTGCCAAAGCAACACAAATTGGTGTGGGATTACCATAAACATCACAACTGTCTCCATTATGCCATCTTTGCATCTGGAAAAATGTGGAGAAGGCATTTTGAAGGGAATAGKCTGTCTTGTTCTTGTTTCACACTTGTGTAATTGACTGAAAGTGTAACTAGAATTGAATACAAAATTGTRCTGCCTGATCTCATTTGAACTGGAAGATGTAAATCGTCACAAATCTTACGCAGTAATTGTATAAATCATGAAAATAAATGTACGTCATTAGGTAAAATTTGAGGTTTGCGTTATTTAGAAAAAGCTTTTTCTTTTTAAACTATGAAAATAATYAGGGTGTTGAAATGATTCTTGTGGTTTGTTTTTGCCTTTCCCTTGCTACTGATTTCTGAAGTGCTCGATGTATTTGCATCCGTTGTTTTTGCCAGTTAAAGACTGGGCCCATGGAGAGGTTACATACAAATGGAATGTAAGTACTTGGTTTCAAAATACAGACCTAAAGGATGCTCCTYTGTTACTCACCAATTCTAGAGGCACATAGTGTCATCTGTAGGTACTTGACACACTCAGTGTTTAAGGTGAAACCYGATTGGAACTGAGTGCTGATATTTGAGCAGGTTGGTTTTCATTTGTGTTTCAGTCTCTGCAAACCARGTATTCCTTCATCTCTCTTTTCCCAAAGAGATCAGTGAAAAAGCGTTATAGCATTTCAGCTGGGACAGACTTCGAACATAATTTCACAGAGTCCATGGTATTTAGTCGCATGTTCTGGTTTAGAAGGTGTTGGGGTGTTTTTAAGGACAGAACAAAAATTCTGGAACAAGCTGAGGTCTCTGACATGTGAAAGCCAAAGCAAAGAGCACYTTGTGTTATTAAAGCAGGATCAGATTTTTCTGTCACCTAATTAAGACTGATTTGAGATTCCTCTGGGCTTTTTTTTCCTTCCTGATTTACCATGAATTTTTATTGTTTACAAATTTAGGAGTGGAGGGAGAGGAAGGATTCAAGTGCTCTTGATTATTTTAGTGAAAATACAGAAATGCAGTGATGAACCTCACAGGCACACTTCACTATGAACTTAACACATTTTGGGGAATATTGCTTTGCATCCCTCCAACRCTTCTTAAGGTGCAGAAAAAAAAAAATAAGGACAGTTAAAGCTGGAAGAAAGCACTGAGCCTATAGGAAAATGATGCAGGGTGTAGATCAGTTACCTTCACCTCTAGAAGGTTTATATTTTCACCTGCCTGTATATTAAGAGGAGTACAGGTGTTGCCATAGCTTTTGCAGTTTAACATTGTGCTTTCGTCAGTCTCTCCAGTCTTTCCAGTGCTCTGTCTTGGGGTTTTATTGAAAACAAAAATACATTGTTTGTGTAGGTGTTAATGATTTTTTTCTTTCACTAGACTTTTGTCCAATTAAAAGCATATACAGCTCTTGAGAGCTTTTCATTAATCAAATGATTTTGGCTTAATCTGCAGTCTTTAGAAACACTCCAGAACCATTTGTACTGTGAGCTCCAGGCAGGAATAATTTGGGGTTCATGGGTGGATGGGTAAAATTGGCTTTGTAGCTTATCTCTAAGCAATACACTCTATGACATTATTTCAAAATGACCTTGATAAACTGAAGGAAATKACCAAAGTTATTGAAGTAAAATTTAAGAGATAAATATGCATTGATGAAATTTAGAAGTACATGGCAGGGAAAAAGTGGTATTGGAAGACAAATATTGCGCTGATAGGGTACTGCAAATTGATTGAGCTAACAGCATCTGAAGTGGATCAAAAGAAAGTTGCTTTGTTGTAATTTGTGATGGTGCTTCCCTTTGGGCTCCACTGTTTTCATATTGGGCCCTGCCTTTTAAAATAAGTTGTTGGGGGAAGATTTTTACTGCAGTAACAGRGGTCTTAAGACATTTGAGAGGTGTGAGTTCAGAAGAACTTTAGAGGAAATAACTTGTTGAGACAGGCAAACAGTTTTTAAAACAATATTCAAATATATAAATGGTTGAGAGAAGTGAATGGTTGAAATGCTGTGTAATCTCAGTGTGCTTGTTGTAGGAGAAGCTGTAGTTGGGATTTGAGGTTGCTCCCTAAATCTGAACTCTGTATTTGGGAGGTTGCAGGCTCCCCTTCGCTCCAGAGCTCTTTTAGGAGGGATTTGACCGTCACCAGCTGTAGCTTTGGATGTTTGTGAACCTGTCCCTGCCTGATGGTGGCTCAGCTGCTCCATGAGATCATGTCCTGCCTAACTCGCTGTGCTTTCACTGGAAAGAATTCCCAGGGCTGTAACAAACCTAGCTTTTGTTGTTAGAGCATGTGCTGCTGGATCTAGCTAATGCCTTACAAATGTTTACAGCAAGTATTGTGTAATAGGGATAGCAAACCCAAAATTGTGCTCCTTCAGCTTCCCTTTATACACAGGAGGATGAGCTTGAGTTRTGTGCACTGGTGCTGATTCTTGACCTTGCACTATCTCCCTGTAGTTCTCCATGAAGCTCACTCTGCTGGGTTCTCTTTAATCTCATTTCTACATACCTTAGCTTTTTGAGCAGGAGGAGGGCATGTGGTGCCCTTCTCCCAGTTTGTGTTGGCTCACTGACAAACCAAGCAGGTCAGATAAACTTGATTTTTCCCTTGATGAGAACACTTAGTTTGGGCACTCTGCTCTGCCTGCTATCAGATGCCACAAAATGTATGACATTCATCTCTCACACTTCAGCTCTTCTTTCAAACTTGCTTTGGTGAATGAATTCAAAAGTTATTACTGGGGGACTGATGTTGCATAAGTCCTAGGAATAACAAGAAAACCTTACAAAAAGTTATGATGTAGTRATTAAGCTTAACATTACAAAAATTAATGCTTAAGCAGTTAACAAAATTAATTTTGTTAATTGAAATAGGTCTGATATTTCCCTGGATCTAAGGCAGAGTAGAATCTGAAGTCTTTCTTGAAGCCTTGCCTTTCCTGAACTCTCCAGACATACCATCTCTTTTTTATAAGATAAGAGATCATGAAGTATCTAAATGATGAAGCTAAGGTCATGSGAAATCTGTTGCTAATTCAGGATTAAAAACCAGATCATCAGACTTCCTTAATCATAAACTTCATGTTTCATTCTGAACTCAAAACCTTTTCTATATTTGTAGAGTTACAATTTTTCCAGCATAAAGAGAAGGAAGATGGTAAAAAAAAAACAAACAAAAAAAAAATCCCTCAAGGCTGACCTGGCACTTTTCAAATACACAGTGCACAGGGCTATGTCCATAAAGCCACAGGAAGAGCCACCTATCATTATCTCCCACAGAGAATATGAGAAGAACTTCAAGACTGTATAAAATGGAGTCACAAGGCATAATAAATACTTYTCCAAAGTGTCTTGGTTAACTAAAATTGTTGCAATTCTGGAGGAAAAGCTGTGGTATGCAATTATCTCTTTCATCTGTTCACTTGTTTGCCAAAGGAAGCAAAATGATGTCTTGTCATGAATCACCCATGTTAGCCACYATAAGGGAGAACCTAAATGTTGCCTTTAGTTTAGAATTGTGGCTATCTATGTAGTTTATTTGCATTATTTTCTTATCTAGTCCTATACTTAAAAATTWTCCACAGTAACTGTTTTAAAAAAATGGCTCACTGATGACGAATTTCTTAACTGTAACCCAGAGGCAATTGCAGCTTGTCCTTCAATGCTTGAAATCCCTTGTAACAGTCTCAGTCATCTTTTTCCCATTAACCAGTTGAGCAGGTGTTGTCTTTGTTCTGTGCAGAGATTTTCACAGACCCCATCGCTGCAGTGAGTGCCTCCCAAGCWCTCTTCTGAAAACATCCTCCTGGGATAGGAAAATATTGCTGTCCTTATTTTGTAGATGATCAGCTGAGATATTTGGTGATCTGCCCACAGGCGAGCTTGAAATCCGTGGGAGAGTTAAGAATAAAACCTGCAGTCCCTGCTCAGTGCCTTTGCTAGCACACAATACTGCATTTTTTTTTTCACCAGCTGTGAGTTTCAGCTGCGTGTTTAGAAGATGTTGTTGACTTTTCCACATCAATTGGTTTATAATTTGATTGCTGCCTGTTCTTGTATGTTTTTTAATTTAAGATTAAAAAAAAAATCTCAAAATCTCTAATATTCTAACTCTGCTTATTTTCCATCTWATCAAAAGAGGAGGGAGGCCTATTACTGATTTGCCATCAGATTTATAAATACTTTATAGGGATGAGCTGAGGCTGGCACATGTGCTGGGAGTTTGGTACTGTTAGTAAACTGATAGATTCCAGTAATTAAGTCACTACTTCAACTGTACAAACTACAGGAAAAATACAGGATGACCATCCTAAACAACAACTCCATCCTTCTGTCAGCCTGAAGCACACTTCAAAAATGCTTTTAGCCTCTTCTTCCTTTGTTCTCCTTGTATTTTATTCTTTGAGGCAAGTGAACAGTCTGACTTTTCAGAGCTGGTGAGCGCTTGCAACATCATACTGAATTTGGGAAACTGTCCAAGGAGGCCAATTGTCCAGCACAGTCTTACTGGCAAAGGATCATAAGCATTTGAGAGGGTGGAAATTCATATCAAAATARAAAATTGAGAGCATTTTTAAGACCAAGTTCTGCTGTATAGCAGATGTGTGTGTCTGTGTAATGTGAAAGATGGCCTCTAATACAACCACAGGTTCCTGGGCTGGATGCAGAAATTACTGAGTTGAATGGTAAGGATTGTGTTACACAACCTGTAACTTTAGGTAAGACCAGAAGGGATTTTCATCTTTATGCTTAAAATTAGGGTTATTGTGTAGGATTCTGGCTGATGAGCAGACTGGATTTGTTAGTTCTCAGGGAAGAATTGCTGGTTTTTGTGTGCTGCAAAACTGTAACGGTGTAGTATTGAACTGGGTGGTGAGGGTGGTGTGGTGTGGTGGTGGTGGTGTGACAATGGCCTTGTACAAGGAGCATCTCTGAGGTGAACTGTGAAGTCAGTCTGGCCTGTACTGTTTTATTATCTTAGGTCTCCCTGCCTTTAGGAATGAGTTGGTTTCTCACATAATGCACTAAGCTGCTGACAGTGTTYTTTTTTTAAAGTAAGTCTTGATCTTACATTAAACACTAGAGTTTTACTTTCTGTCTTTCCATACCTGTATAATACCAGTTATCTTGTAT